GTACGCTTGACGGCTCGTTTGTTCCTTACAAGCCTCAAGGATGCATAACACAAACAAACAATCGATGCATGGATTGATATTAATTTTTTGACTGATTTTGAATAGAAATGACATAAATAATACGAGGGTTGTCCCAAAATTCCGTAGACAAGCGTAGTTTTGTAGGAACCCGGTGTCATAAATCAATGAAAGTTTGTACATATATAAAACTAATAATAGCTAATACAATTATGGGCAAAAGTTGAAAAATTACACATTTAAACCCTATTTAAATACAATTTTCCAGTGTCTTATGTAAGAAGGCAGCGCAGTACCCAAAAATTGCAATTAAAAATCGGTATGTGATATTTAAAATTTTAAGAAAAAGTATTTAATACCCAGAATTTCGAAAATAGAAATTAATATTATTCAAATTGCAATGTAAACTACCTTTCCTCCAATTCTATTGTATATACCTTGATTAATACGAATTTTATAACGTTTTATATGCATCAATTTGAAATCTGACCAGTTGAAAAATGGCGCCTGTGTCGACACAGGCGGCACACTGGACTGTGATCAAATGTTCTGAATTTTAATTCACTCCTAAAGAAACGCAGAAATCATAAATGTTTGGTTACGCATGGAAATATCTTTCGGTCCTTAGTGTATCAAAATTGTCCAAGTTCGTGAAAAAGCGAAACTAAATAAGAGACCGCCCAAAGAAAAGGGCACGGAATCGTGGCCAAAGTGACGTTGTACAACTCCATTTGAGAAGACACAGAAATCAAAACCCTTAGAGACATGAGGTTTTTAAAATCGTTATCATTGGATACATATGCATGTGCAAATTTTGTATTTTCTAATGTCAAATCGTATCATAGCAATTAAGATATTTTTAATTTATTTCTATGATGTTTATGTTAAATTTAAAACTTATTTCTTTTATTAGTGAAACCACTTCAATCAGAATTGGTGATGTTAAGTGCATTTTTTTTTTTACGTCGGAGATTGCTCCGGGTGTTAAGGAACGGTAACACTGAAATTGTAATAACTCGAATTGGTTTTAAGCATTCATGTTAAAACTTAGTAATTTACGAACCAATAACACGCTTCATCCACCCAAAAAATTTTAGAGAGATACGTTTAATTTTGTTAAAGATATGAGCTCTGTCTACGGAATTTTGGGACAACCCTCGAGGGTTATCCCAAAATTCCGTAAACTGAGTTCATATCTATTGCAGAAATAAATGTATCTTTATGTAATTTTGTGGGTGTTTAAAGTGTGTGTTTAGCTGATAGATTACGAAAGTTTAACATCATTTCTTGAAAAAAAGTACGTTTAATTAGAATGTTAATATGATCCGTGTCCTACCACCCAGCGCAATCTTCGACGTCAAAAAATACGTAAACATCACCGGTACGATTTTTTGGGGAAAATGCATTAATTATCAGAATCATATTTTCTACTTTAACATAAAGATTTATGAAATATTATAATTGTTATGGTGTAGTTAACATCAAAATATACGCCAAAAAAGTATAAATTGCATGCATCTATAAATAATTCATAAAAATCTCCTTATCTCTGAGGGACTTTTTGTCCGTTTTTCCGAATGGAGTTGCACTGTGTAGCTTTGACGACGATTTCTTTGTCTATTTCTTTCGGCTGATCTTTTTCCTTGCTTCGTTTTCCATATATACCTTGAAAAACTGCTTATTTCATACAAATAATACGAACTTGAATATATTTATGTGTTCCAAACATTCTTCTTATGCACCTCTATTAAAGTTCCGATCTATTTTATCATATTTCATTGCGCCGCCTGTGTCAATGCGGCGTCATTTTCTTAAAACAGTCAAGCGTCTAACCAGTGCAAATGAACCTTATAAAATTCTTACTAATGAAGGCATATGCGTTAAAATTGGAATAAAGATATAGAGGATATTCAATGTTTTGAAGATGAATATGGAATTTATTTCACTCGTGGGACAGGATTTTTTGATATTTTCACGAGTGCGAAGCACGAGTCAAAATATAAAAAAAAATTCTGTCTCACGAGTGAAATAAATTCCATATTCATCTACAAAACATTGAATTTTCTGTTTATTACATTTTTTTTTATTTCCCCTTTGTCTCTGTCTTTTCTTAACACAGTGCCATAGGCTTGACGTCATAGTTGAGCGGTTGAGACGCCATAGCTTACCAGTTGTGAGATTGAAAACATCACATAGCATGGATTTTAGCAACATATTTGGGATGAAATTTGCAATTTTATCTCTATCAAGATGGTTAGTTACTATCTCTATCTTATGACAGGACAGAAATTATCTTTTACTTACTTTGATATCCTTTCACACTGTGAGAGAATATCATTTTGGTATCCTTTCACACTGTGAGAGAATATCACTTTTATTCAGTAAACAAATCACAGTATTTCACTGTTGAAAATGTAATAAAGCTATTTATGTAATTTGAGAAACTATAATTTTTATCCCACGAAATTTTGACAAGAAATTTCTTTTTTGCGAGATTTTACATTTTATATACCGATTTTTAATAGCAAATTTTGAGATTGCGCCGCCTCTTTACACCAGACATTGAATTATTTCATTTAAATAGGATAAATCTGTGTCATTACGCAATGTTTTACACTAAAAATATTAGTTGTTAGTAGTTTTAGTTATGTTGAAAGTTTCATTAATTTATGACACTGGGTTACTACAAAACGACGCTTGTCTGCGGAATTTGGGACAACCCTCGTATTAAAATCACTATAACTTTGCATGACTATAAAAGGATAACGCATGTGCTGTGTGCTTATCACTCAGTCAGTTTTGGACCAGTACGATATCACTTAGATTTCTCTTCCTTAAAGCGATCTAAGGGTTAAAGTACACGTATAATCAAATCCATCAAAATGAACGTAATATTGACTATAAAGAAAAAGAAAAATGAAAGCAATTCTCACAATCGAAATCTACACATGTATATAGTATATGGATAATGTCACTTTAAAACGATGTTTAAACAAAGTTTAATTAAAGTACAATGATCAAAATAGAAGTTAACACGTCTACGTGCATAATGGCTTGTGTCTGTACTTACAAACAAACAAAAATGTAATTAAAAAATAATAATCATAAAACACTGAAACGTGCAATTTTGATTAAGTTAATTAAAGTGGTCGCGTAAATCGAATCAATGTGAGTTTATAAAATAAGAACACGGTATAAAGAAAACAAATTATAAAATTATTGAGTGCATCACGTTGGAGCCTGCATGCTTGTTACGCGGAAGGAGATTAATTCAGTAGAATTCTAATGATAAACGAGAAGACGAGGGGACATTGCAATCACCCGTTTAAATTCCTTTTCCTGATCTAAAAAAGGATTTTCCAAGTAAAAATTATACATCTATATTCTAAAAAGGAAATAATAAAGAAATAATGAGGATAATGTGGGTCATTAAAACCATTCTTCGCAAGATGTACAAAAACAAAAATAGGAACGAATGGAAAAGAAGAAAAACAAATAAATAAACCAAGAAACAAACAAAACAGAAAAAGAAAAAAATGTCAACGAGAAAGCTCCAATGCTTCATTCTACAGTTTAGTTATAATGGCTACGCCAAACCTTTCATGAGAGTAGGATGATGCATATTTAAAATAAACCAGATTGTATTTATTTTATCGAATATTCAAATACTTTCATTGAATATTCGAATATGAATTACTGACAAAATTGACATCCCTAATTTTTTTCTAAAACAAATACCATTATACGTTCTGTATATAGATCAGTGTGCAGATGTCCTCTGGTAGAAAATTCTAGTATGTTACAATGTTAGGTCTGTGCATATCATGGCTCTTGAAGAGATCAGTAATGAGATCAGTAATGATAAACGTTTTATAAGGCAATGTAAAATAAGATAGTCGTCTCAGAACCAAGGTGCGTAGATACACAGTTTCTGAAACAGATACTCTATACTTGTCATGTTAGTATCTTTAATTTATATAGAAGTGGGTTTGATGAAATCATGGCGTTTTGTTGTTGGTCCACAAGAGGGTCACTGTTGCACATAAAAATTTAAAGGAACACTTCCCTTAAGAAGAAGTCTACAAACTTTCAACTCAGTTCAATTAGTGGAGTTTCACTTTCTTTTTTATTATGAGACACTCCAAGTTATAGTTCACTATATAATAACTGTGAAGGAGTGGTTCTATAAATGATTACATAAGACACTCCAAGTTATAGCTCACTATATATAAACTGTGAAGGATGGGTTCTATAAATGATTACATAAGACATTACCTAACCACCTTCTAATTGGTTTTATCGGAAAATCCGCACGTGTTTTCACAATATTTAAATAAATCAGTGTCGATAACCTGAGATGCATTAAAATAGGATGCAATGGCATGAATTGTTCTTTCTACATCAGTTTTAGTTCACCTCTACAAAGTTGAGATGACCTTTTGCTATAACCTGGTGCCGGCATCCCGGATAAAGTGTAAGGGTGAGGTCCATTCCAAACTAATTACTAGCCCTATGGTGTGACCAAACTTGCATCTTGGAATGCACGCTGCCAAACTTGCTTCGGATGTTTGAACTAACCTATATTTCTGGATGAATGACCAGAGGCCTGTTCTACAGAGCGAACGTTCTCGAGCGCTTGCCAACATTTCTGTTGAAGGAATAAGGAATTTCGGTGAACGCTCGCAAACGTTCACTCTGTTGAACAGGCCCCAGATTATAGTTTTAGGAGCAAGTCTATTCAAAAGTAACTATTAGCCCTATGATGTGACCAAACTTGCATGGTTGATGCATTTCGGGATGCACACTACCAGATTTGTTTCGGATGCTGGCTATCACCTACATTTCAGGGATGAATGACCAAGTAAAAATTTTGAAGCAGGTCCAATCTCCAGTAGCCCTGTGGTGATAAAATAGGACAACCTGTTTTGGTCTTTTGGACCAAGTTATTTCTCTATGTAGGACAAAAATAATATCAATACTGCTAGAAGTGCAAAACATTTTATGTCAAATCAGAGCATGTAACATCAAAAATGATGAACAAAAGAGAGCTTTCCATATCACAGCACCTGGATTTAAAATACATGTATAACATTGATAAAAACAAGATACACTGAGCACAGAACTACAGAGTCCATGATGTAGATCTACTCAATTATAAGTACATGTAATACATGTATATATATTGCACTGTCTCTGTATAACCTTTCAACAATATCTTCTCTGCAATGAATCCTAACTAACCTTTATAGTCAACATGATTCACTTGTCTCTGACCCTTGACCCTGGGGTTATTGTTTTCACTCGACTTGAAGAAGCTGAACTTTGCAATGAAAAAAATCAGGTTACAATCAAAACTGACATAAACTCCATTATTCACTGGAATCAATGGACAGTAGCATGTCTTGATTGTTGTAAACACAAGCTTTACAAGTATGCAGTAGAATGATTGGGGCAGACAACAACTAAGTGATATTACAGAAGACACCAATCCCTGTCTTGTTTGCCCTGCTGAAGGTCATCCCTAGTCCTCCTCACTGTTATCTTCTGACCACTGTCACCCCTGCATCACATCGGTGGGCCGACATGGCACTCTCCAGGATTTCCCAGTTTCCTGTTGTGGGATCAAACTTTTCTATGGTGTTTAAAAGTGTGTTTCCATCATACCTGTATGGAAAATTTAAAGACTCTTGTTGTCTGGTTCCTGTATATCTTTATACATGCATATATTTAGATATTTTACAAACAATACTTAAAAATCCCAAACTACTTACCCAGCCACCACATAGAGGTACCCCCTGAGTACACATGCCCCAACATAGCACCGCGGTACCACCATACTTTGTAGGTGGGTCCAGTGTTGGGTGTGGATGTTGAAACACTCCACACTGGCCAAGTGATCTGTGCCATCATAGCCACCACACACATAAATTAGGTCATTGGTCACTGCCACACCAGCTCCTAAAGTCAAACCATACATTTCCTTTGTTTCAAGAACAGTATATTCCTTTTTTACATGTCAAGTACTTAATATGGTTAATTAAATCATAGCTATCAAATCAAGAAATGGATCTGCAGGTATATTGTTGATGAAGAGTACAGCAATATAAAAACAAAGCAAGTATTCTCTATTGTGAGTAATGCTTCCTGTGAAATAGTGCATTGATAAAATCCTCACTTCTATCTTAGAATCCACAGTACACTGAAGAATGAGATTGCCTTCTTAAGAAATTGTCAAGGATTTACATTATAATTTTTTTATAAATTTGATTAAATTCTGTTAGGTACCTGATCTCCTAGTTGTCATTGGAGCTATGGTTTCCCACTGTTCAGTAAGTGGACAATATCGCTCAGCAGAGTCGAGGAGATTAATTCCATCGTACCCTCCGATGCAGTAGATCTTGTCCCCAGCCACTACAAGCCCTGCCCCCTCCCTTCCCACAGCCATCCCACTGAGCATGGTCCAGTGATCATCCCCGGGGTTGTACCGCTCCATACTGGTGTGTCTACTGTAACCATCAAATCCTCCACAGACGTAAATCTCACCTAGAAGACATGAAACAGTGTCAATACTTTTCAGTGGCTGAACATACCTCCCCCAAACACCACCATCCCCATCCCCACCAACTCACATCCCTTGTCAAGTTCATAAAACTATGTACTAGATATTTTTGTAATGGATCTGCTTTCGAAACTAATTATAAACTTTTTTAATAGCAAAAATGAAAATACAAAAGATGTTATGGAAATACAGTAAAAAGACACCAAGTTTGATCAACTACTGAGTATACAGTTTCCTCATTTGTTTTGTATGCAACATAATAAGCACAATGGTTGCATGGTATTAAAGCATGGAAAGCTTGTCTCCAACCTTCATTCTTAAAATCTAAAAATAGCATTGGTGCACCCCAACCCAATACCAAACAATAAAATTTTCAATGGCTGAGATGATAATCTGATACATTAATGTATCCTGATACAAGGTTCTATGACTCCACTATCAAATGTTAATTTATAAATTACGTTAATAACCCTAAAATTTGCATCACTGCATACTCTATCGATTCTTCCCTAGGGAGTACATCTCACCAAATATAAGATACATCTAAGAGAAATGAGAATTTTATATATTAAATATGTAAATATACTACAGAGAATTTACACATTGCAATAAATGCATATCTTTATGAAAAATACATAAAATATCATACAATTGTATAAATTATGGATGAACTGTTAAACAATAGACAAGAATTGAAGAGATTATTTTATGGCTGCAGATAAACAAAATCATATTATATGCTACAGCATACCTACATGTACACCTCACTTAGAAGTTATTTTGAAGTCTCTAGAATTACAAAAAAAAAAAAAAAATACAAAAAAACAAAACAAATTCAAATAAAAAACAAACAACAAACTTAAGTAAATTCGCCTGTGGAAAACATCTCTAAGGTTTCAAGATATGAGGTGTTGTGGGTGTAAAATCTTTTTTTTTCTGTATGAAGAAAGAGACATTAATACAGACCAAAGCTAACCCCCAATTTACAATTAATCTTCATTCTTTTGTAGGGAGATGTTCATTACTTACTTTTATATACACACACCCCTGCTACCCCCTTCAGTATTGTAGACAAATAGGGGGGCATTCATGTCAATTACCTACCTTTATATACACAGACCCCAGGCAGCTAACCCCCCCCCCCCTTCCTTTTCGTAGGGAGATGATGGAGAAAGGGGCCGTTATTCATGTCAATAACTTTTCGTAATATACACAGACCCCAGCTAACCCCCTCCATTTTTTTAGGGAGATGATGGGGAAAAGTGGCTGTTATTCATGTCAATAAGTTACCTTTATATACACAGACCCCAGTTAACCCCCTCCTTATTCATGTCAATAACATACCTTTATATACACAGACCCCAGCTAACCCCCTCCTTTGTGACATTGGAGTAACTTGTTGCCAGGAGGGTTCCTCAGTAGACAGATCTAAACACTCCACTGTACACAGTCTTGATTGGCCATCATATCCACCAATCACATACACCCTACCATCCACTGAGGCAGAAGCAACATAGCGGCGGCGTTTGGACAAATTCTACATAACAAGTTTAAATATTAGGATACAGGCCCAAAGAATAGTTCAAAACTCAATTTTATCAAAGAGCAAGATTCCAAAATGGCCTTCATAGACCATGTACCTTTGTGTAAAAATCAAAAATGTTCAATTTTATATAAACTGACTGAAAAAAATCTGTTGCACCAACATTGACATTATGTAATAAATGTTACACAATTTTTTGTTTGTCTTTGCATTATGATGTGTATTGCAACAGTGCTTCCATTTTTCTTTCTTGAAAAATTCTTCCAAAATAGACAACAATCTCTAACCAACATTTTCAGATATATACATTTATAGAACTGGTTTTGAGATTTGTTTTATGAGATTTCCTGGATTGGGAGCTGTGTTCATATTTTAGCTTTTACTTGGATGTACCAGGACTCAAATACACCAATCCTATATAAAATTCTAGAAGCAGTGAGTTTCACAAAGACTGTTCTCCTGAAATGTGTCCCCTGTCACTTAGCAGTAGTCTAATTCTGGCTCCCCTTTTTACCTACCATTAGTCTACTCCAGGTCTGATGTTTGAGGTAGTACAAATGTACTTCTGGCCCCCCGTCACTTACCGGTAGTCTACTCCATGTCTGATGTTTGGGGGTCATATTTCTGGCCTCCCATCACTTACCAGTAGTCTACTCCATGTCTGATGTTTGGAGGTTGTATTTCTGCCCCCTGTAACTTACCGGTAGTCTACTCCATGTCTGGTGTTTCGGGTCGTACTTTTCCACCACTTCCACCATATTCTGATGAGATCCAAACCCTCCCAGAACCACAAGGATGTCATCTGTACCTAGAAGTAGAGGACAACCTGGTCTTAACCAAAATTAAGGAAACCACCATCATATCTATGAAAATTATTGTTTTGTACATACAACGTGCAGTGCCTATATCTCAACTATGTAAATACATGTAGCAAGCCTTCAAATTTAACCAGCTAAACAACCCTCACCGACTCTGGGTGCCATTCTTGGACCATTCATTTCAGTACGTAGATCTGGTCGGAGGTGGAACTTCTTGGCTTCGTCTACAAGGTCTCTACAGGCATGGTTCTGTCTGATCAGGGGCTATCAAAGGAAAACCCCAAAAAATTATTCAGCAATCTTTTCAGGTAATTAACATTTTATAAATGTTTAACTTTGTGAAATTCTGCAACAGGATGTTTCAAAAATTAAATATATGTATCATGAACTCTTTTTTTTCAGTGGAAAATGAAACCTTTTCATTGTCATGTTTTACCAAGAAAATAAAGTTCTGAAAATATTGTGAATGTATCCATACATATAATTGTTAGCAAAGTATTGGATATATATGAAAGATATTAAAATACAGCCAAACCTCATAATCTTGAACTCAATGGGACCAAGAAAAAACATCGAGATATCCGAGGATTCGAGATATAGAGGGTAAAATACTTAGAGAATAAGTGGTTTGGGACTTCCAAATCACTTCGGTATTGGAGATATCAGTGTTCAAGATACCAAAGTTCAACTGTATGTATGTCATGCACTTTATACCTCTTCATCCAATACATCAGTGATAAACTTGGCAGACAGCAATGGAAGGCGGACGTGTTGTAGTAACCGTGGCAACTGGTTCTTTCTCTTTTCTGGATCATATTTGACCCAGTTAATGACAGCTTCATAGACAGGCTCCTCAGAGTTAACCTTCAAAATACATGTATAAATTTTAGGGATGTCAACGAGTACCCGGTTAACCGGGTACTCGATCGAACGTCCGAGTATCGAATACTAAAAATGGTACTCGGTTACTCGGATGTATATATATATATATATATTTTATTTCAAAATACATTTACCGGTATTTATAAAAAAAAACATCAAAAAATAAATAACTTAAATGTGCATACAGTAATTAGCGTGCCGTCGCCTACACCTGTAAAACACTCGTTATCGCCTGTGGCTGTGTATTATAATACAGTAATTGTTGACAAATCACCTGGAACATAATTGTCCTGACCTATTGTGGCCCTTAATTTTATGATGGCTTCAATGATTTGTTTTCAATGAACATCGTTTAAGTATTGCCTATTATTTTAAAATTATTTTGTTTGTATACGGTAGTCAAATCGGACATGCATAGAAATGCCGCTACCCACTTCAAATTCAAAAGTGAAGAAATGTTTAGAAATACATGTAACTGAAGATTGAAAAAATGTTTCAAGTTGGCTATGTGGAGTAAATTTAGCGTATACTGGGGAAACTATTTTTTTTAACAACCAACATATCAAATAATATACAACTAGCGATCCCAACAGTGTCCGTGTTCCATCTGTGTCGATAGTCTGATCGGTTTATTCTCACTTAACCAACATTTTGAAAAATCCTATTCCCATATAGATTGCCCTCCTAAGCCTCTTGTGTTGATTAAAGCGTCTTCCTAAACATTTGTAATTATTGGTGTATTAATTTATGACTTTTTTTTGACAAATAAATTTTTAAAAATTATTTTCGTTGGACTCAATGTTTATACATTGTATACATGTACATGCACTATAAACGTTACAGAAAACATCGTTGTAGTTTAACAGAGGTTAACTGGGCTCAACAAAATTTACACATTTACACACACTTTCATAATCTACATTTTTACCAAGTACCCGGGTACTCGATCGGAAAAAACGTCCGAGTAACCGATTATCAAATATTGACCGATTTGACATCCCTAATAAATTTTAAATGTAAGTCAAAATTCATTATTTCTTAATTATCTCCCCTTGGAAGAGTGTGTGCCCTTCATTTGAGCAAACTTGAATCCCCTTTTCCCAAGTGTACTCTCTGCCAAGTTTGGTTTAAATTGGCCCAGTGGTTCTGGAAAAGATGAAAATGTGAAAAGTTTATGACAATGACAACAACAAAACACAATGGACCAATTTCAATCAGAAAAGCTCACTTGAGCCTTCAGCTCATGTGAGCTAAAAAGAACATATTATAATCTTTCAATGCCCAATCTCAAGCAACACTTAAGTTTTTTTTTCCTTTAAACTACATGTACTGAGTGTCTAAATTTTAATGGTCAATATAACCTTGACAAACACACCATGGAAAGACATATATATGTACATGTGTGTTAATCTTGGTTGTCAAAATGCTTGTCCACCAGGCCAACATTTAGCATGACTGTGTTTCTGTATGTTATCAGAGCCATTTTTCTAACTATCAGGCATATTTTCATTTCAAGTTTGAAAACTTGTAAATATGTAACAACCTTAAATTTTTTTTGCATTTTTTTCCACCAGAGGCATTTGCCAAATTTTGATTATTGTCCAATCAATTGCAACTTGAATTTAACATTGAAGTCTATGGGTAGCGCAAGATATTGTAAATAGTAATTTGAATTTGAATCAAATCTCTTGGTGAAAATATGCATAATATGCATAAACTTTTTCATCAAGGGCAGATAACTCTTCAAAAACTTTTAAGGAGCAAAATGACCGGCTTCTTACATTTTATCAGTCTTGTAAATTTGGTTCATTTCACTTTTATTGTTATCTAGCATTGCATTTTTAACTAGTTTAAAATCATTCAAAATTGTTCAAAATCCCTTCATTATACATTGAATACCTTACAAACAGTCAGATGCTCCCGATTTCAAACACTGAGATTATTGCAAATCTTTGTGGGTGTAAATTACAAGTATTCTGGTTTTCTGATATTATGATTGGTTGTCTGATATTATAATTGGTTGTTTGGTATTGGGATTGGTTGTCTGATCTTATGATTGGTTGTTTGGCATTGGGATTGGTTGTCTGACCTTATGATTGGTTGTTTGGTATTGGGATTGGTTGTCTGACCTTATGATTGGTTGTTTGGTATTGGGATTGGTTGTCTGATCTTATGATTGGTTGTTTGGTATTGGGATTGGTTGTCTGACCTTATGGTTGGTTGTTTGGTATTGGGATTGGTTGTCTGATCTTATTATTGGTTGTTTGGTATTGGGATTGGTTGTCTGATCTTATGATTGGTTGTCTGATATTATGATTGGTTTTACACACCTGGATTTCATTACAGGTAAACAGTGACTCCACCTGGTGGATGGTAAGGGTCATGAACTCTTCCTGTATCACCACGTCCTCAAAGTGCTTCAGACCAAAGACTTCTGCTGCATTGAAGAGTTCCTGACAGGAATGCTGCTCAGCAAAAATCTTAATCCCCAGACAGTTGCTGCTGTCCAACTGCTTCTCCAGGAAAGAACAACAAGCATTTTTCACACCTGCCAAATCAATCAATTCTAATGCAATACATTTACAGGTAAATGAAGAAAATATACAGTCATTATTACAGGTATACAGTATACTGTAAACCGATTTTTATTCTCATTCGAGAAATATCAACAAGTTTTGTGACCTACATTTTCTTGCGATTATGTCTCGCAGTGAACCATTATTTTGATTGTGTATTTATGTAGAGTTTCCTCATTTGTAAACATTAATCATGCTAGATGGATTTCACATTGATGAAATGTAAATAAAAGAAGAGTCTGATATGAATAATACAGTAAAAACTTGTTATTTCTAACTAAACGGGACCAAAAAAAAACTTTGTGATATCAGAAGGTTTTCAATATTGAAGTTAAAATATAATAAGGAAATAGGGTTTGGACTTTCAAATCGCTTCAACATATCCATGATACATATATTCAAGACATTGGAGTTTGAGATACCAAAGTTCATCTGTAGTTGGCTTACACTATTTGCACTTGTATGTATCCTGTTCTTTAGATAAACACATTTTACTCACTAACAACTAAAAGCTCATACAGTACATATATTTCAGTGGGTAGTAAAGGTTAATATTAGAAGTTACATGTAAGTCACAAAATTGTGTTTAAACTACCTTGGAAGATGACAAAAACAAAGATTCATTATAGGAAATATCTATTAAGTTAATTATGAATTTCCAAAAGTTATACTCCTTTGTCCTTGATTTCCTTCCTATTTCAGGTGTACTAAACAAGTGTGTAAAAATTGTTTAGATAGATTGCATTTTTAAAATATTTATTAACACATAGAAAGGTCTATGAAAATCCCTAAACCTCCTATTAGTGTCCTCCTATTAGTGTAAAGTATGATGACTGCAAGGCATGCCTATAGCAAAAATGTGTTTTTTGACTGACCAGTGAGCTGGAGCAGACATTTTTTGACTGACCAGTGAGCTGGAGCAGACGTTTTTTGACTGACCAATGAGCTGGAGCAGACGTTTTTTGACTGACCAGTGAGCTGGAGCAGACGTTTTTTGACTGACCAGTGAGCTGGAGGAGACGTTTTTAGACTGACCAGTGAGCTGGAGCAGACAGGCTGCTGGCAGGAGTTCCTGGACATTCTCCACACTAACGTTGACTGTCTCTGTGTACACAAAGTCCAGCAGGACATCCATAATACTGGCCGACACCTCGTGTAACTCAATCACAGATTGACACTTCTCACTCATCTACAACAAAATTACTGAGGAATCATTGTGATTTGTGGGGGGTTCAGATTACATGAATTTGATGGGTAGGCCCTTTCCTTGAATTCACAATTTATGGAAATTTGATCTATAAGCTAGTTTTTTCCTACCAATGTTTGCCCACAGATCAAATTAAGATTCAACGAAGAAGGTTTTTTTTTCTACAAGTAAGTTGGCCTAAGCAAATTACTCCATATTATGTGATGCAAGAGAAAGAATGATCAACATGATCAATACCCACACACTTTTTTACTATAAACATCTGAAAAAGTGGGATTTATTTCTTTCTTACTGATATAATTTTCTTTTATTTCTTAATAATATCGAATAGGTTAATATCACAATTTATTGAAAATACTCACAGTGAAAAGAAATATCAAGATGTTTTATGGAAATTCAAGTTTTGACTGATTAAAATTGGCCAAAGCAAAGCTCAGTAACCAAAAAAAAAAAGATATAAATCTTTAAAGTGATACTGAATACAAACTTTATAATTCACATTATCGTAATATCCATAGTTTCCTACAGATTGATTTCAAAACTTGTGAGAATGACCACTCTGAATCAACATTTCATTGTAAAATGTTCATAAAACAAGAAAACTCATTGTGATTATTAATTCTTGCACTCCAAAAAGGTTGTGCTCAAGTTATTCCAAATGAACACGTGTCCTACAGCTCGCTTTCAATGATTTATTTAAAGTGTGCTCCCAAACTCACCCTTACCTCATTTGTAAACATTGCACAGAAGTAGTCACTACATGCTGCCAAAACAATTCTGTGGGCCATGAAAGTCTGACCTTGAACCTTCAAGGTCACGTCACATAATGTGCCATCTTTCCTTAGTGTATTCATAGTAGAGAGAATAGACTTTGCATGGCTCTCCGTAAAGATCTCCTGATCTTCCATCTTCTTCTCCTTCCTTATGAATTGACTGACAAGGCTATCAGATGATAAATATTGAAAATATATTCACCATTTAAATTGTATGCACATACACCTTTAAAATAAATGCAATGCAAAAAATTTTCCTTCAATGCTTTTATGATACATCAACATTATTTATTCAGTGTGTATGCACACCTTTTATGATGAAGCTGAAATCAGTTACATTGCTGAGACAATGTCAATAACTAGTGCTAGGGCTAGTGCCGTTGTGTATATTATTGAATAATCTACCTATTCACTTTTAACTTAGATCCACCTCTTTAAACCCCAGGAGACTATTTAGAAGGTCTATAAACAGTGACATCACATGAGGTCGTATGTTAGTTGCCTATTTCAATAACAAAGTCTGAAATGATTGATTTTTTAACAAAGAATATTAAATCTACCTTCTATCTACAAAATCCATTGAATCATGGTTAGTTAATTTATCATTTGTAAATTTTTGTTTGGTTATCGCGAAGAATTCTTTTGGGCACCACATTCAATATTACAGAGCATTATCAAGATTATGGGTAATGAGTTTACTGCTGAAAAAAATTCAATTGGATCACTGGACAAAGTCCAAATTTTCTCTTTGTGCCGCTCACTGCACTCACTATAATTAAAACCTGTTTTCATGGCTATTTTTTCAATAGCTTCAATTATGCATTTTAATTTTTGTAGTTGATGAAACTACAGCATTCATTTTTCCTCTTGGGGCAACGTTAAAATCATAATATTTTAAGGACCTTATATAATATAGAATTCATTCCAAGTGTTGTCAATAAAGCAAAATAAACAGGGGCAGATTATTCTAATCTACATGTTTACTACATTGTACCAATGATCCAGAATTCAGAATGTCAAAATTGCACGTACATTAGAAAAGAGAAAAGAAACTGAGAAAATGAGTTGAATTTTTGCCTTTATACAGGGACCTATATACTAACGGGATAGGCAATTCTTGCAAGTCTCGCGATATCTCGTAAGTTGCGGGATTTCATGTCAATTTTAATTAAATATATCTCTTTTGCAGTCAAATATTACATAATAAAACCTTAATTTATCTACCAAAAAATTATTCAAGATTTGTTGTCAGCACTGTTTTTACTCCTTATCTTCAGATCTTAGTAGTAATTACTTTTACTTCAAAATCAGTGCATGCCCCTGATCGGCCATATTTCCGAGAATTCGCCGATTTTGGTGGTTGTTTACTTAATATTTAAATTATTTTATAATGTGTGATTTAAAATTTATCAAAAATCCATTCCGATACACAAAAAGAACTGATTCCATTAATCAGAAAACAAGCTTTATACTGGGGAAAAACATAGTTTGAAAAACTTGCAATGTTGTGTGTGACGTTTTTGGTACTAAATAAACATGGCACTAAAGGAGTTGCCTATCCTGTTAGTATATACACATGTAGGTCCCTGCTTTATATGAATCATTTTGGGGGGGGGGGGGGGGTAGCAGCCATTAGGGCTGTCACGGTTCCCCGAAATAACCGAAAACCGTGGGCTAAGTTGATCGGTTTGGTTTCAGTTCCATTTTTCCAGATATCGGTTCAGGTCTGCTTAATATATTAGAATATGTTGTATACAAAAAATGGCACCAAAATCACAATAAAGATGACAATAACAGTGATAAATAAACATCGCAACTGAATTATACTTCATATCCATTACAAAACACTTGTCATGAATGGATAGATAATTATCAAAACAAGCAAGAATGGACAGATTGTAGCTAATAGTAGGTCTAATAGTCCTAAACACCGATGTCAAGACATTAACATGGATAAGATTTGTTTTAAAAGTGAATTTAACATACAAAAAAAAAAAGATTTTTTATGTTAAATTCATGAACTTAAGGTATAAAATAGAGGTAAATAACCGAACCGAAAAACCCGAAACCGAACCAAAAATTTACAGAACTGACCCAACCCGAAAAATTTTGGAACTGTGACAGCCCTAGCAGCCATATATACAAACTCAAAAAGGTTTGATACGATTTATTTAGTAGTAGTTATTTTCAATGTAACTCCTTTTGTATTCTGCAAAATTAATTTGGAGTGGATCCACTCTGTTTAGCTACATTGCAACTACATGCATACCGGACGTATTCTAACTGTGGTGAGGGCTTGTCGGGAGAAATATAGTTAGATTATTCTCTCTTGCGGCTACCTAGATAGAACGTTCTATCGCTAAAATGTGGTGAGAGCTTGTCAGGAGACATATAGATTATTCTCTCTTGCGGCTACCTATATAGAATGATCTATCATTGTAAAGTGGTGAGGGCTTGTCCGGAGACATATAGATTTTTCTAACTAGCGGCAACCCTGCCTCTGTTGTGACCCCCCCCCCCCCCCCACTCCCTTGCAAGGGTTCCCTATTTATTAATTTACATAGGCATGTCAACAAATACAAAGTGTCGAAGGACATTAAAATACTTTATGATTAAATACTTCTTGTCTATAAACCTGATTGCTTGAGATTATTCGGTTGATTTTAACAGCTACTGCTAGGCAAAATTAGGCAGGCATTTTCTTCGTATGCATTGTACTACATATACAAGACAAACAGCGACTTACCAATCATTCAGCAACACACTGGATCTTTAGGGACATTGTCATATTTTCTAACAAAGTTCTGTGGACCCGTTTTAAACTGGTTTGATTGTCTTTTATGACAGTATGTATTCACTCATTCACTGTGACTCTTTTGTTTTGTTTTTTTCTGAATCTCAAACAGGAAATACTGGGATGAATCTAATTTAAAAACCGTAAAGATTGGAATATTCCGTATTCATTGCAGATTAGGCATTCTGCAATTTAACAAAGGAGTTCGCAATTTTATCAATAAAGTCAATAAAAATCACTCGATTGACCAAACCTATTCTCTATTGAATAGTTGATGGCTCGTTTTAATACTCCCCCTCAAGTATGGGGGAGTATTAATAGACCAAACCATGAGCTATGCGTTAGCATAGCGAACTGTTCGCTATGCTAACGCATAGCTTATGGCTTGGTCAATTGAGTGATTTTTATTGACTTTATTGATAAAATTGCCAACTCCTGTGAATTTAATTTAGAAAAATATATATATATGATCGCTACACAAAACCTACTACATAAGGGGAAGGTATAATGCCCTGATAGTATAATGCCCTGATTGACCTGATTACATATATATAATGAAATTAAGAGTTTTTATGTGCATAAACAATATCATTTTTATTGGAAACGATGAATATTATAATTTTCTATAAGAATCATGTAGAAAATGAAAAATAAAAATACTTTTACTATGTTTTATTTGATACAGAAAATTGACAGGGGTATAATATCCTGATTTTGGGGTATAATGACCTGATGACCTGATTGTATAAAAACTGCTATTAAACCCAATTCAGCATAATTTTCATATTACAATTTGATTAAATATCTTTTAAGGATTACATATGAAAGTAGTTTAATTAAGTGTGGGAGAAAATATCTACTATATTTTGTTCAAAATCACTTTTGAAGTATACAAAGGGTATACATGCCAAGAAATCCCGTCCATTTTTCCACAGCGATGGAGTCAATAAAAGTGTAATTGATGCAAATCACCCATATTCCCCTAACGCTGGCGAGACAATTAACGGCAGCAGATTTGAGGGGGTGGATCCTAAGTTTTCCGTTTTCTTAGTCAAAGAAAAATAAACTTCTACCCCAGGAAGTAGCCTCCTATGCCCTGAAAAAAATAGTTCCTGTCAAAAACCTTTATTTATTTACAAAATATGTAAAATGCACTAGACACAGGTACCAAAATTGTAAAAATAGACTGGAAGGAAATTAAAAAAAAAATCAAAAGGAAAAACTAATAATTTTATATGTATGGAACTACAATTGACTAAGTTCATTTTCATTGGTCAATTACCGGTATGATACCTTAATAAGGCGCGAGACTTCCACAACAACCAAGTTCATCGTGCCCGATGTTGATTTATACTAAAGCCTTTGATACAGTTGATCGAACTTTAATGTTACACAAACTATACCAAAAGGGAATAGGTGGGAATAGGTTCATCGTGCCCGATGTTGATTTATACTAAAGCCTTTGATACAGTTGATCGAACTTTAATGTTACACAAACTATACCAAAAGGGAATAGGTGGGAATAGGTGGGAAATTTTACAATGTTATAAATAATGTGTACTCAAACACTAAATTATATTTCTATAAAGATGAATCTTGCTATAGTAAACATTTTATAGCTACAGGCGGGGTTAAATAAGGAGATAATCTTTCCCCAACACTTTTAAATATATTTATTGATGACTTCTACCTGCAGTTAGTTAATTATAAAAAAAACCCTCCTGAATTACAGAATATTGATGTCGGACATTTATTCTTTGTAGATGACTTAATTCTTCTCTCTACTACTAAACTCAATAGTCTCTCAGAATATTGCATAAAATCAAAACTGACTGTTAACCTTGATAAAACTAAAGCAATGATTTTCTCAAATAAGAAAATTGACACAGCTCAACATTGTTTTTATTATAATCATTTAATAGTTCATCTTGAACATGAATATAAATATCTGGGAATTATCAACTAGCTGACCGCGCAAGAAAAGCTTTTTATGCAATGAAACACTCTTTACCATTTCATAATAACTTATCTGTAAGAACTCTTTTAAAACTGTATTCTTCACTTATTGAACTTATCATTTTGTATGGTTCTGAGATATGGATTTCAGACTTTAATATTAATATAAGCAATTGTGATCAACTACCTTTTGAAAAGATACAGCATTTAATATTTAAAGACATCTTAATTGGGTGTACAGAGAAAAGCTTCAAATTTAGCTATTAAATATGAGCTAGGAACACTTCCTATTTGTTGCAAAGCTTTCATCTCTATGTTTAAATATTACAAGAGACTAAAAAACCATAATAATAAAAATGGAATTAGAAATCAAATTCTTATTGCTGCTTTCTTAGAAGATGACAATCTATATAATAATGGTGTAAAGGATAATATTGGCCGAGTCAGATTGATAAATTAAAAAAAAGAAACTTAAACTTCCATCATTAGATATTACTGATAACACATTTAGCAGCTGCTTGAAGAATTTCTACATAAAAAATGTTAATTTGCAACTTCAGAACATTGAATTCACCAAATGTGGTAAATTATTATCTTACAGTCAAATTAGAAAGAACTATGAATTACAAGACTACTTGAAATTTTCAATTAATAAATCTGTACATTCTAAATTAACAAAACTGAGAATTTCTGCACAACCTTCAGAAATTGAAATGGGCAGATATTCAAAGCCTTGTATCCCAAAAGAATCTCGTTTTTGTCACTACTGTAAAACTGTTGTAGAAAATGAAATACGTTTTATATATGACTGTCCTATATATAAAGATTTGCGAAAAAAGTATTATCCTTTGAACATCTATAATTTAAATGATAACATGTTGAAGGAAAATCATTGTAAAGTACTTTCTAATCCTGACAATGCAGTTCATTCTAGAAGGCTATGCGAATTTTTACATGAATGTTTTGAATTGCGCTCTAAAAATAGAGCGAAATAATAATTATTTAATGCATTAATTAGTTCATCTTTGTCCATATTATACTGTTTTAGTATATATATTTGCATAATGATTATGTATAACTTCAAGTTGTAAACGTAGCTGACTTCACTGATTTGTACACTTGCATGTATGTATGTACTTTAGTATGTGTTTTAGTAATCTGAAAACACACTGTATTTTTCATTTTGTATGTAACATGGTTGTATGCCAACATGTTTGGTGAATCAATAAATAAATTGAATTGAAATTGAAAGTGCTACATTTTTAGTATAAATTGACCATTTCGAATTAAACATGTATCAGTATTCATGTTAATCTCAAGAATGAAAATATATTCAGTGAACAGCTCAGTAGAAAGTAAAATCAGTTTTAGTTTGTTTTTTTTTTTTTGGGGGGGGGGGGGGTAGGGGGGCTGAATAAAAGATCATTGACAAGCAAAAAGACCAGAGAAAGTACTACAGAATGACTTTCTTGAGCTTTGTTTCCTATTCGCATGTATTAAAGGAACAGTCACCCCTCTCTCAACTGCGTTCCTACGGATATGGTGGAATTTGAATATATACATATGTTATATAGTACATGAGTAATTTTTAATCAATTAATCATAACTTAAAGTGTCAATTTAATTTATATGTGTTTTTATGCTGTTGAATTTTGACCCGGTTTTATGATCAAAATTCAACAGTCCGGCTCAATTTTCAACAGACTAGGGTCTGAATTCAACGCTGATGGTCTCAATATTTTAACGTTGAGAAAAGACCCCCCGGATGTGATTAGGATTACCATATCAACATCATCAATCAATCAATCAATGGGTAGTTTGTATCAACAATCTATTAAAATTTTCGAACGAGCTGTTCAATTCTTAACAGAAGTCGGAAGTCTGAATTTTAAACAAAATCACATCTGACATTGGCTTATTCATTTCAGTCTGGCTTTGTAAAAAGGGCTAAAGATGGTGATATATGGTCAGCAAAGCTCAAATAGTTAATGACCCATTTTGCAAAAACATTCAAACATTTTTCAGATGTTGCTTCTTGAATGATGTGTACTCCGAGAAACCGAAATAGTGGAATCGATAGAATATGTAAATAAAACAAGTACAATCTTTCATATTCTTAAACATCAAATTATATATAAATGATGTAAGAAAAGTTACTGTTCATAATATCACTTCACATTCGATACTCCGACGTAATATTAATTTTCAAAAATAATTTTATTTTCATCTTCGCTAGCCAAGGGTTTCTGATACGCTACTCTCCTCATAAGCCCTTGGCATACGGTGTTAAAAAAAAGTTGGGATTTTTTTCTCAGGTTGGATTGGAGTTGATCGACATCGTTCGACCAATCAGCAATTGTTTTTTGTAAATGACGATAGTTGCGTTCGGGATATATCTTGACTCTTTAATATCGGTATTGTAAAACGCAAGTAAACAATGATCCGTAAGCTAACATGCCATTCTATGAATAGCTTTATGGTGTCATCCAATATCTAAAGGTACGTGCAAAATATGTGATTAAGAATCTACATGTATACTGAAGATGTAGATTGGCATTTTTACATGTTTAAATAACAAATTAACATAACTCAATACCTTCTTGTTAATTATTCTTTAAAAAACAAATTTTTTTAAATACGCTTTTTATTTCTGTCGATGACGCAATCTGTGCGTACCTGGTAAGAATCATGATCACGTGACAAAAATAATCCCGTCTTTTGACAGCACCGTATGCCAAGGGTTTATGAGGAGAGTAGCGTATCAGAAACCCTTGGCTAGCGAAGATGTTTTATTTTATGTTTAAAAATTTACAATATTGAGGGCTTGAATTTCTTTATATATTATAAAATTCATAATATCGCTTCGCGTACGATACTCGTAATATTAAATTTAAAAATAATTTTATGTTATGTTTAATTTACAATATTGAGGGCTTGAATTTCTTTATATATTATAAAATAAGTGATTGATTGATTGTATTTTTTTACGTCTCATTCGAGAAATTTTTATTCATATAGAGACATCGCCGTATGCCGATGAAGGGCTTCAAATTTAGACCTATATATACTCGGTACGCATGGCC